CCCCAAAACCCCAAAACCCCAAAACCCCAAAACCCCAACTTCTCATAATATATTGAAACTCATCAAAAACCAGCATGCCCAAAGAAAATAGCCAAGGAAGACTCTCTATTCGCAAGCTAAAAAGACGTGAAACCACAAATTTCAAGAAGCTGACTGCAAAACTTCTGAAAAGGCCTAGAAACAAGGTTGGAAAAATCTCTAAAATCCAGACAAACCTGAATGAATACAGTATAGTGCCGACAAATGAGATGCAAAAGAAGATGGATTATTTCTTCCAGTCGTACAATAACACTTTTATGTATAACAAACATATGGATTTCAGCACAAAGACAGATTGGAGACAAGTCACCAGATTTTTATTCACTAAAAACAAAGAAGTGTTCAGGTAGGAAAACATCATATGGGGGACTATCCATGAAGTTGATTAGAACCTTCTACTTTTGATGGATTAATAACAATTAAGTCTTTACGGAGGAGCCTAGTCTTGGAATGATCAATATCAACATGGTTCAGCCTCACATTTCCACTTTCATCATGTTTATAATGAAACTCGATGTTTTATTTCAAATTTTAATTCTTTAATTTTTAGAAAAATCTCCCTTTGAACCGCAATCTTTATACGGTCAACTAGAAAATAAGGTTTATGGCTCAAATTTATACCTAAAACTTTGTGAAGCATAAGAAGCCAGATAAGCTATATTGGTGCATTTTTAGGGCAGTATATGTTAGAGATAACTTCACTCTATACTACTTCAGAATTAGAATCGTTCTTTTTTTGATTCATGCTTTAGAAAATTTATATTTTTAATTCAAAAATCTAGCTCTCTGTTGTTAAAATGCCTAATAGTAATATTTTCACAATTTTGTATATCCTGTTTCCAAATTAAGTCCAAAATGGCTTCTTGTCTGAAATATGTCTATTAGAAATTATAGAATTCAATGGAACGATATCTTTCGCTACTTCGATAAATTCCCAAAACTTATAACTTAAGTTTGTATTCATGGATTTGGTATAAAAAAACCTGGATTTCTTGCAAAAATCATGCTGAAAACCCTCTAAAAATCCTTCTAAGACACCCTTCTGATAAGAAATTTGCTCTTCGTCCCCTCGTACCACCAGCTACTACTGCTTCAAACTGGCTTTCCGATATGTTATGACAAGTTTTACCCTATTGGGGTTAATTTAGCCACCTTGATTGCTGAGTGAAAATTTTAGGGAAATTAAATGGTGTTGTGGGTTACAGGGAATTGTGGAAAATTTTAGAGACTTATTAACCAGCCTGAATGGAAATGTTGTTTATAATGGAAATTTAGTGTTTTGAGTTGATAGTTTGGGAAGAACAAGGAATCTTCAGCGAGTTTTCAATCTGATCTGTATTATTAGTAAAAGTGGCAGATTAAGTTTCTGAGATTTTAATAACATTCACTAGCATCCTTATATCATAACGATAAGCATACGGAGTATTTTACACCTTTTCTTGCTAAAATGCTTACTGATATTATAGAAATTCATTAAAATAGCATTAATAATGAACTTTACCTTGAACTGGGTAAATTAAGCAAGCATATGGCTAAAAATGAACAGATTAAAGACCCTGGTCATACACAGACGGGTCTTAATCTCCAAGAGTCGCTACCAAAGTCTATTCATTCAGATCATGCCTCTTCTCAAAATGATAGCCAAGGATTAGGACAAGTGACCGAGAACGACACTGAAAGTTCAGTATCTAGCCAAGAAGTATGCAAATCTTTTACAAAAAAGGACAGTAATCGAGGATATGGTAGACAGCTTACAAATATTGAAGATCTTCTACAAGCTTTGAAGGATAAGAAAGAAAAGAAGAGGAACCAAAGCCTAGCCCCAAAAGATTCCTTTAACGATTTCCTATATCAAAATTTTAATTACTGAAAGAAAAGGCAACCTAGGAAGGTAAAAGATTCCTAAATTTTACTCTCATCCGGAAAGTAACCTTTTTATTTAGACAAGAGAGGGAAGGCGAAGCATTATCACTGGGTTGAAGCCACAGCTCATTCCTCATTTCGAACCAGTCCGCATCAACTCCTCAATGGACTCTCGCAATAATATTAGTTTAAGAATTTCTGACAAGAGCTGCACTTTGCCCAAAGATTATAGGAAAATGCATACATCGCTAGGCCAAAACGATACGAAACAAAAGAAAAAATCGCTGAAAATACCTAATTTATTCCAAAGAAATTATGATTCGGACTTAGCTTCTCCTGCTCGACCATTAGAGCAGACCCCAAAAGAAGCACTTCGGAATAGGAGCAAACAATTTAATTTCTTGCGGAAATCCACATTATTCTGAGCAAACTCCAAGGACTGAAACAGGACTAGACAGAGGGTGTTCTCTACAGGAGAGGGATCTCCTATAAAGATCGAGCCACTGCATAAAAACATGCAATTCCAATATGCTAAAAACCCAAAGTAAGATTTGTTATGAAGAGTTAAAAACAGAATTTTTACACCTTTTATAGTCCCAAAAATGTGTGAAATCCGAAAATCTTGCACAGAAAGAAGCCTCGGTCAACGCTCACTTCCAAACTTTCCCTTCTCAAAATCTCCAAGCCTTCCAAACTAAGAATTTCCAAGATCAAGACCTATCTCAGCTCAACATGCGACACTCTTCATCAGAAGGCTCCTTCCAGAAGCAGCTTAAAAGCTGCTTCTGCTAAGAAGCCTGCCAAAGAAGCTAAACGGTCGTTCGCCCTGGATGAGATCGCTGACGTGGCGGTTTTTAGTGCAGGCAAGTAGATGGGAAGATGGAGGCATGGAGATGCAGGGCCTAAGGAGTTTATAATATGTATGGAGTTGTAGAAATGGGGTTTTGGGGTTTTGGGGTTTTGGGGTTTTGGGG